GAGCCACACACCCACACCAATAAACACCATTCAACCCCTAAACATACCCAATGCCCCCACACACAGCCACATAACCTCACAAACTCTCTCTATACCTCCTAACACCCTCCCATTCCCACCCCGCACACATACCCCCACCCCACCATACACACACAATATAAAATTTATTTTGAATTATTATGCAAGTACCTCTATATATAGTACACAAACACAAATCATGCCAAAATTATTTTTGGTAATACAACTAAAATGTTATACAGTGGAGTCTCATCATACATGCATTTAACTTACACAAATTCAACAGTACGTGCTCAGCAAAAAAAGAAGAAAAAAACAATTTAAATAGTGTGGGAGATTCTGCCCACCATTCCACTCAATAAGTGTATGCCCCAGAGTGAGCGTGAGATGGGAGACGTGAATCTGCTGTTCCCTCAGTCAGTCTCAGTTCCTGCGTGCCTCTCATAGTGTGAGCATCTTGCTGTGCTGAGTGTGATTCTAGTGTTTAAAGATACCTATTTTTCATACAACATGGCCCCTAAATGCAAGCTAAGTATTTCATCTGGTGCTCAACTGAAGAAACAGTGATCTGTTCCAATGCTGGTGGAAAAACTGGCTGTGTTGGACTTATTGAGAGACGGTATGTCAGTCTCCAATGTGGCGTGTAAATATGGCCACAATGAATCTATCATCTGTGCCATCAAGGTTCGAGAGAGAGAAATTCATCAAGCCGTGGCATCAAGTGCTCCAATAACTGCTAAGGTGAGGAGCCAAGTGCGTAATAACACTTTAGTGAAGACTGAAAAGGCTTAAACTTATGGCTGGAAGACATGAACCATAAACGTGTGCCTATCGATGACAACACATTGCGAGGAAAGGCTCTTATCCTCTACGCACTGTTAAAACCTCCCACCAAAGAGGGACAGCCTTCTGATGAGAAGGAATTCAAAGCCAGCCAAGGTTGGTTTAACAGTTTTAGGAACCGCTTCAACCTCAAAAACATGCAGACTACTTGTGAAGCTGCATCTGCTGATGAAAAGGCAGCAAAAGCCTACCCTGAACAATTAAAGAAAATCATAGAAGAAAAGGGCTGTCTTCTGGAACAAGTTTTTAATGCTGACGAGACTGGGCTCTTCTGGAAAAAAATGCCCAACTGCACTTACATTTTGAAATCAGAAAAACAAGCCCCTGGCTTCAAAGCAGCTAAAGACCGTGTAACTTTGTTGTTTTGTGGCAATGCGGCTGGTCATTTAATAAAGCCGTGCTTGCTCTACAGGGCTGCAAATCCCCATGCCCTAAAAGGCAAGAACAAAAATCTCCTGCCTGTGTTCTGGCAATCAAATAAAAAGGCTTGGGTGATGGCAGCATTATTTCTGGATTGGTTCCACAAGTGTTTCATTCTGGAGGTCAAGCAGTACCTCGAAGAGAAAGGACTTGACTTTAAAGTGTTGCTGATCATAGACAATGCTCCTGGTCACCCTGAGGCACTCCAGTTTGTGCATAATGACATTGAAGTCGTCTTTCTCCCCCACAATACCACCTCCATCCTCCAACCCCTCGACCAAGGCATGATTCGCTGTTTCAAGGCCATGGACATGAGGCTTACGTTCTCACAGATATGTAGCGCTACAGTTACTGATCCCAAACTTAATGTGATAGAGTGTTGGAAGTCGTTCAACATTGCCTATTGCATCACTTATATTAAACAGGCAATGGATGCAATCAAGCCTGAAACAGTTGATGCATGTTGGTGAAACCTATGGAAAGAATGTGTGAATGATTTTAAGGGTTTCCTGACCATTGACAAAGAAGTGAAACGCATTGTTCAGCCAGCCAGACAAGTGGTTGGTGATGGCTTTGTCGACATCCTCGAGGAAGAAATTGAAGAATTAATTGAGGGCCATAGAGAAACATTGACTAATGAAGAGTTAGAGGAATTGATAATATCATCTGCAGAAGATGAAGATGATGATGACGAACAGGAAGAGCCAGCAAGTTGGAATCTTCATAAATTTGCTGAAGTGTTCCAAGAAGCAAAACACTTGAAAGATTTAATTTCTGAATATGATCCCTCTATGGAACGAAGCCTCAAAATCACATGTAGTATTATGGGCGATTTGGGACCATTCCAAGAAATGTTTGAGCAGCTCAAGAGACAACAGCGACAGTTACCGATCACCATGTTTTTCAAGAAAAAACAACCAGCAACAGATAAGCCTATGCAATCAACTTCTCGAGCTGAACCAGAGCCAGCCACTTCATCTGTGACTCGCTCTCCATAATTTTGACTATATGCAATTTTCGCTTTACACACTAACTTTAGAACCTAACCCCTGCATAAGATGCGACTCCACTGTAATAGGTGTTTAACTTTTAGTGTACGATTTGGTTTTTTCTGGTTCTAAGGTGGCAACCTCTCCCCCATAAAGGAGTATTTCTGGGGGGCAAGGGGAGAGACTTCCAGTGGAAAAGGTCAAGGTCTAAGGGTGGGCAGTCCCAAGATGGCAATCCATGCAGCCCTCAACAGCTCACCAAACCTCGTTAAGTGGCCCTCTGCCCAAAATAATTGCCTGCCCCTCCCTTACATCCAACCATGCCTTATCACCAGTATAGGGGGAACCTGATCCTGGGCTGCCCCTGAATTAGCAGGAAGCCCACAATGCTAGGAGCTCCTTTGCTGAGTGGAATCCCAGCTGACAGGACCATGCACAGCTGGGACCAAGAATCCTTGCACTTGATGGGGCTGTTGGTCCTGGCTGTGCCACACACAGCCAGAACCAAGAGCCTCATTAGATGCTGTACTTTCAGACCCTGAAGCCATAGGGCACTGCTGTGGTCTCCCAGTTGTGGGGGTATGCGAAGTACCTGGTGGCTGGGAGATTGGAGCAGCTGACATCTTCTAGCCACTACCTGGAGTGCCTCTACCCCCCTGCAGCTGGGACATCTCATTGGCTGGGTGTGCATTGTGCTCCACAGTGCCTGAGAGCTCACAGCAGCTGTGGCCTCCCAGCTTCAGACTGCTTACACATGCAAATCAAAGCTCAATAGAAACCAGCTCAAACATTATTACATATTTTCAAGCAATAACTTCATAGCTTGAAACTTGTTAAGGCATGGCCACTAATGTGCATGTGTAGGTAATCTAAATTTATTGTGCAACTGAAAAGGTAATTGCATAAGAGAGATAATGTGTAGAGGGGGCCTAAATGACTTACAGTATGTGAGATTTCAGACACCTTTGATCTGGGAACCATTTCTCCAAAAATCTGTATCAGCTCCCTTCTTCAAAAACCCCAGTTGATGGAAAGATGGCCTATTAACATTGGACCATTTGTATGAAATTGGGTTCTCCTCTGAATACAATACTTCCCAGTGCCTTTTTTTTGCTCAAAAGCAATGTAAATTTATTACAGATATGCTAGCAGGGAGTTATAATCTTCATCTGTCCTTGGAGTCTCCTCTCCATACCTCAGTCAAATATACAGCAAGGATAAACCAGGGGCAGTTAAAATAGTGCTATATTAATTTGTATTACTTTCTCCTGTGGGTTCTGATGGAGAACATTTGAGGAAGCCCAGATGCTGTAGCCCCATGCTCAAAAGTTTTTTGACCTACCTATTCATCCCTCTCTAACAACCTGGAACACAACAAACATCAGGAGAGTCATTCCACCAAGGCAACATGTCTCCTTCTGTGAATGTACTCTCATGAAAACTCCAGCTGATTGAAATTTATCTGAATAGCACTGGAAGAAAACCAGAGTACCAACCTCAGAATTTGGCTAAGGGACATGTATAATCCTAGCAGCTTAAGGTTTAGCAGGAAAACATAATAGGACAAGTTTTAAGAAATAGCAGCATAAACATATCTACAAATTTCAAATAGCTTTAGGTAAACTACTTTTAGTTAGGTTGGGAATTTACAGAATTTGCTTTTTAGGAGTTCTTTTGTTGTTTTGTTTATGAGGACCTTTGAAATAGAATTTCTAAAACTAGAAACCACAACAATTGTAAAAGAACAGTGCCAGGATACATCTCACTGCTTTAAAAAAGCCTGTTCATTGGTAAACTATAATAAACTATTCTTCATTATAACATGAAAGCTCAAAATATAAATTTGCTCTTTTTTATCCCCCTCTGACCTGTAAATTCATTTATTGACATCGCTGCCACTAATGTAAGCAGTTGCAATGCAAATTTACTAGGACAAATGTTTCAAAGTTGCCCTTGTAGTTAATTGTTTTCAGGTCTATTCAATATCTGACCTCTCTGTTCAAACTGGTAATAAGGACACGAGTTGCAGTCCCATTTTGGAATAGGGATTGCTGTACAAAATATGGATTATTTTACTAAACATTTTCCTCATCATGCAAACATTAATTTGAGCAAGCATATAACAACTTAATGTATCACCAAGAAATGGGTTTATTTTTTCTGCTTGATTTGAGCATTTCTCCCCTTTTCAAATTGCAAATAATGACTTAATTGAAATACTTGGGTGAGTAAAATGCATTAAAATTGCATTAATTTTGTAAAGAGGTATAAAAAGGAGGTTAAATTTAGAAACTATCAATCTTCCCAGTTTCCATTTAAATTGCAGTTGTACTGATTCTTCTCAGTATCAGTCAATTCTGTCTGGTAAAAGTATGGTAAAAGGGTATTAAAAACTTAAACAGAACCTAAAGATATGTTTTAATGGATATTTTATACACACAGAATATAAATATCTAAAGCACCACTCTGAAGACAACAAGCAAGAAATCCTGGCATATCAAAGAGGCAAGGTGACATGATAGGTCAAATATTGAAATGCCTGGAAAGTCTTAAATGGAACATTTTTCATTGAAAATATCGTTTGGTAAAAATTAAAACATTTTGCATTAGTTTTGACAATACTGCCAGTGGGAAAATATCTAAATGTTTAATTTTGAATATGAGCAAAACTTTTATTTCAGTAAGATAGAAAGACTGTGTGTGCGCTTTTTTTCCTTTTTATTCATTTTTAAACATTTATGGTCTATAAAATATTAATTGTAATTAATATTGTATCCATATGCTGTGTTTGATACTGGGTATAATATATTAAATACAATTTGAAATTCTAATAAAATTAATCAAAATAATGATATACAGGGTGCATCTACACATGAACTTTTACTGTTCAGTAACCAAAATTACTGCAAAATACAAGCACACATCTATACGTGCATGCCTGTATTGCACAGTAAATATGGTGACTTATGCCAATTGGAGCATAAATTTGACACCTGCAACTAGTTACTGCACAGTAACACATGTGTACTACATAGTAATACTATGTGTGTGGACTGACTTGGGACTAACTTCAGTCCCAAGTTAGTCCACACACAGTGTTAATGCGCTTTAATGCTTGCATGTGTAAACACAGGCCTATTCCATCTTACTGTGCTGTAATTTACTGTGCAGTAAATTTAAGCCAGTGTAAACTCATGTGTAAATACCTCCAATGAAATAATTTCTGATTTTCAATGTGATGTGACTCAAGTACTAGATCTGACTCTCTCAGATAATTCTTTCCCTGAATTTCTGTTTTGTAGTAAAGGTTTAAATGTTAGTATTTCTTTCTGATTCCAATAAAAAAGGAGAAAGAAAATTTTAGAATTTTCCACAGAAAGAGGAAAATGTCAGAATTTCTCACAGAATGGTGACTCTGGTTTCCAACCAGTTCTGGTTACCTAGCCCTTATTTGTTTCAACAATCTTTTGTGTTCTTGTATACTATACAGTGTACAGTATGGGCATATGAATAGCTACTGCAAAGATAGAAAAAAAAGTCTTCTACTGATGTACTGCTAAAAGAGTACTTGGGAAGATTTCTGTTCAGAAGCATTTGGGAAAATATCTATGGGTAAGAGAAAATAACATCCATATAATATGTTATAAATAAGCTAGCTTGCTTTAATACAGACAGAGAAAACACTTGTGCTTGTTAGAGCTAGTCAAAGAGATATTTTACTTGTGGAACATACATTTGGCTAGTCATTAGCAGGGGTGATACAGACATTATAGCAATTATATTAAAAGCATTCCTTGATATCATTACTCATAGGCAATTTTCTGTCAATATCAAGAATCTGTGGAGAGCTCTTTAATTCCAAATGTATTAGTATTCAGTGAAGATAACACAGTAGGTCTATAACTTTTACTGGAAATCTGATTTATACCTCCCTTCTAAGTTTTGTTCCATAACACAGTAGGAAAGTGCAGTGTAGTGGGGGTACACTAAAGTACAGGCTGCATTTCATATCCAAATTCCATCTCAATTACATATTCTAAAGACAGAGTGCTCAATCCTTTCCAGCAAATCATCCTTTATGAATTACTCAGTGGCTCAAAGGAATATAAAACATTCCCTGTTCAAAGGAACAGGGAAAGAAGGATGCCACCCACTCTGTGGCTGATATCTATCCTGATCTTTTCACTCTAATGTGGGTGGAGACTTTAGAGGGTGCTGACAGATATACCATGTCTGTCTTCAAGGGACACTGATGTAAGTGACATTTTGTCATGTGATTGGCCACCAAAAGTGCTCTACAACCATGCTCTTACAGAAGTGAATAGCTGCAGAGAGCTTTAAAAGGACCTAATCCCACAACAGTCTGAACCCTCATTATAACAGCAAACAGCAACAGGGTCCAAGGGATTGCTGTAACTCATGGCGCTTCCTACAAAGTTACAGCGGGGAGCTGCACTACTGTCTGTGACTAAAGTGCCATGAATTAGAGTGGTCCCCAACCCAAAAGATGTTCACCTGTTGGGTTGGGGGGGAGGGGGGAGGAGCACAAATCAAGCTTCATTTTGGAGCCAATCTAGTAGAGAAGCCTGCCTGCAACCTCTCTTCCCTAGCCCTGCCTCCATCTCTCCCTGCTGTGGTGTTTTCTGCAGGAAGGGTGAAGGGAAAAGGAATGAGTTGTGGGCTGGGATTTGCCTGGCCTGAGCTGGAGGAGGAAGACTGGGGGGAACATGAGGTACGGGGGCTCCAATCCACCCACCCAGCTCCAGCTCAGGCTAGGCAAACCCCAGTCCGGAGCTCACTCCCCTTCTCTTCCCCCCCACCCCTTCCTGCAGGCAGCACCAGGGGAAGGGCTGGGCTACATCAGGCCAGCCCTGATAACAGGATGTATTGACCTTATGGAAGTTCCCTAAGGTGCTTGAAAGTGGAGTGCATTCACCTGATCCCTCATTAGATTAGGATTAATTTGTCATGTGTTTGGCTACTTTAAAAATGCTCTGCAGCCAAGCACA